TTTATTTATTTAAGTAAATTTTATTTATATTTGGTCGCCTATTACTTTTATGTAATTCTTTTTCATATAAAAGTTTTTTTTACAATTACGGTAATATAATATTTTTTTTATCAGTTATTTTTATATGTAAATGTAAATTACATTTTGAGGAACTATTAAATTTTGTAATGCAATTTGAAAAAGTAATCAATATTTATATGTAAAAGTAATTTGCTTTTTTATGAGACTTACTTTTACTTGTAAAAGTAAATTACTTTTTGATGTAATCTGTTTTTACATAAGTTACTTTTGAAAGTAAAAAGTCAAAGTTTTTAAAGTAAAAGTCGTTCCATAAAAATTTATTACTTTTTTGTAAATGTAAATTCAATTTTTTTTTTTTTTTTTTTTTTTTTTTTTTTAACATCTTCACTTCCAACAAGGCTGCAAGCAACCACTATAAGAGTTGGAAGTTACTGGAAGAGAAAAGACTAAATCTGTAGAGCAAGATAACGATTGACTGATGACTTAAAAGATTGCAAATTATATGAATCAGGAAAGCAAGATGAAGGAAGCGAATTCCAAAGAACTGATGTTCGAGGAAAAAAACTAGAAGAATAAGAGTTTTTGAAGCACTTAGGAACAGTCACAGAAAAAGGATGAGACTTAATTGAATGGCGAGTAACACGAGAATGAATTTTAGTAGATGGCACAAGGGACGCTAGCTCTTTAGAGCAGTGCCCATTATAGTATTTGTAGAAAAGAGAAAGAGAAGCAACATTACGACGATGTGACAAAGGTTGGATATTGGCTGCCAGAGCAGGTCCAACTATGTTTACAGTTCGTTTTTGCACCTTGTCTAAAAGAGAAAGAGCATCATTAGAAGATCCGCCCCAGATGTGGCAACAGTATTCCATACAGGGACGGATTTGAGATTTATAGAGATAGAGAATAGAATCTGGAGTAAGAAAGTGTCGAGCTCGATAAAGAGATGCAACCTTAGCAGATGCTAATTTTGCAATGGATTTGATATACGGTTTAAAAGAAAGATCAGAAGTAAGAGTTAATCCTAGAAGATGAATGGTAGATGACTCATCTAGTACATTACCATTCATAAATATAGGAAGATCTAAATTATTACGATAACGATTGGCCGAATAAAATTGAGTTTTATCTGAATTAAAGTTCACCAGCCACTGTGAGCCCCATGCTGTAGCAGAAGTGAGATCCTTTTCAAGCTCAGATACCCCCTCCAAGCAATCAGAGAGTGTAGGCTTCTTATCATGACAAGAGTAAATGGTAGTGTCGTCAGCGAATAATGCCACCTTAGATGTGAGAATATCTGGAAGATCGTTAATGTAAATTAAAAAGAGTATAGGGCCAAGGATTGAACCTTGAGGAACCCCTGAAGTTACAGGATGTGAAGAAGAGTGTTGTCCATCGAGGACAACTTTTATACTACGATTGGAAAGAAAGGACTCAATAATTTTAAAGACGTTACGAGCTACACCATAAGAAGAAAGCTTATGGAGAAGACCAGCATGCCAAACTTTATCAAAAGCTTTAGAAATGTCAAGTGCGATAGCCTTAACCTCTCCACCTCTATCTAATGCACGGTAAAACCTATCGGTTATTACTGTTAGCACATCAGCTGTAGAACGAGAAGACCGAAATCCATATTGATGATCAGAAAGTAAGTTATTTGATTCAAGATTAGGTGTTTGTTGATTAAAGATTCAAAAACCTTGCTTATAACAGGAAGAAGACTAATGGGACGGTAGTTAGATGAATCAGATCGCTCTCCGGACTTTTTGAAAATAGGGATAACAGATGCTGCTTTCCAGCATGATGGAAAACAAGACTCTGAAAAGTACTTGTTAAATAGTTTAGAAAGTATGGATGAAAGCTCCGGAGAACACCTCTGCAAGACTACAACAGGAATGTTGTCAGGACCACAAGCTGTTGAAGAGTCTAAGCAGGAAATTACTTTAGATACAGAAGCTGAAGTGATGCGAATGTCAAGCAAGGGATCAACCTGTTTGACGGCTATGTCAGGTAAAACGCAACTAGTGGAATCAAGAGATGATATTGATGAAAAGTTCTTAGCAGACAATTCAGCTTTGTCTTTAGGTGAGGTGACAAAGTCTGAACCATACAAGAGAGAAGGAATAACAGATTTGCCCTTATTGATACTGTTAAAGGTTCTCCAGAAGTCTCGAGAGCCTAATTTTTGTGATGAGATACGAGATTTAATGACCTGGGAATAGCGAGCTTTGGCGTCAGACAAAACCTTTTTACAATGGTTTCTGGCGATAGTGAACAGATGTCTGTTTTCTGGAGAATTGTTTTGCTGATAGATATGGAAGTAACGGTTTCGATTAGAAATTGCTGCAGCGCAATGTGAGGAAAACCAAGGAGAAGAGTGAGGCTTGACCTGGAATCGTCGAGAGGGAATAAAAGATTCCATGCCAGCCTGAATCCACGAAGTTATATAAGAAGCACATTTGTCAGCAGGAAGACTAAAGATTTCTACCCAAGGGCCATCACGAAGAAAATCACGGAAAGAGTCCCAGTCAGCTTTAAGGTAGTTGTATGTGGTACAATGATAGGGGGATTCTGATGAAGTAGAAGAATTTGATAATAGTTTTAGAGAGATCAAACCGTGATCAGAAGTACCTAAGGGTGAATGTGGAGAAATTGAGCACTGACTAGGATCCAAAACAAGACATATGTCGAGTAGAGAAGGTAAATGATTAGGGTTGTCTGGAAAACGAGTTGGAAAGTTGACTATTTGAGTTAGAGATTGAGAAAGGCAAAAGTTGAGGGCCTTAACGCCAGCAGAGTCACTGGCACTAGAGCCAAGCCAATCGGTGTGATGGGCATTAAAGTCACCAACAACGACGATATTCGCTGATGGATAAAGAGAGAGGGCTTGGTCAATTTGATCAGAAATAACATCAAGAATAGTGCAATCTTGGGATGAAGGAGAGCGATATAGAACAAAGAGAAAGGCGATAGAGTGAAGTTGTGCTAAACGAAAGCACATAAATGAATAGTCTGTAGATTCAAACCTAGTTTCACGACAAATGGGTGAGTTCTTACGAATGTAGATGCCCAGGCCAAGCATGTGATTATTGGAGTCTTTACGAATTAAAGGAAGATAACCATCAACACTAAGATCACAAGATGGGACAGCCGAACTCAAATTAGTCTCACAAAGAGCAAGTAGGTCTGGTGAACTTTGCAAGAGATAAGACTCAACAGAAGAAAAGTTACTTCGAAGACCACGAATATTAGTAAATGATAGGTTTAAAGAACTTGGTGATGACGATGGTTTTTTGTGTTTTTTAGTTTTAGGTACTTTAGTCATTTTAAATTTATAAAGAACTTGACTCAAGTATAGATAGTACTCAGTACACTATTTAACAACTAAGCAATAGCCTCATTACTATTAATAAACCCTAAGCCGTAACAAAGGGCTCCAAATGTGGCCTCTGCAATGCACACCAAAAGTACAAACAGGGACACCATCCATGCGCAACATGGCACTGTTAGTACTCTGATATTTTTCGGCTGTTGATGGAATCAGCCTCTCTAAGAGCTACCACAGAGTTCGGGAAACCTGACTACCAGCCGGCCTCAGAACCATAAAACTGAGTTTTAGAGCTGTACCCTCATTAGGAGATAATAGAATGAGTTGCCCAGTCATGAAAATAGAGACACAAGCAATACCCACGCATTGAGTCAAGAAGATCCAGCGTTCAACATCCTAAACTGGAAACAATGTATTAAAAATACATCTGCGCCACCCTAATAGATGAGGAAGGAGTGCGAGGCTGGTCAACAGATAGAATCTGTTTACCCCTTAAGTCTTTGCCTAGGAGGCCTTCTACAAGACAGCAGCTGGATGCATGTAACATCTGCCCAAGATGAGTATTTTTATCGAGACACCATCTCTAGCCTTTACTCAACCAAGAGCCCCAGAGGGGCTCTTGGTTGAGTAAAGGCTAGAGATGGTGTCTCGATAAAAATACTCATCTTGGGCAGATGTTACATGAAGAGGGGTGTTTTAATTCGGAGTTAACTTCTCCTAGCCTTTGCCTAAAAAAGCGTATCCTACAAGGCAGCAGGACATGGAGCAGGTTGTACTGGGTTACATGTTACCAGTAGCAGGAAAACCTGACTGACCTTAATTTGAACGGTGACAATTACTTACATAATAAACTTTTTAAAAAAAATTTACTTGTGTAAGTAAAAAAAAAATTAGTAAAAATGCCATCCCTATTCTTGATAAATATAAGACTAGTTGAAAGTAGTTCAGAAAATATTGTATCAACTTGTTGCTCTCATATTTGGGGCAGGGAGGGCTAAGATTTTAATGTTTCTTGTTCCCATTCTCCTATCACAGTAATTTTTTTTGTAAAGAATCTTTTCGTCATAACATATAAATGTAAAAAAATTTGGATTATTCTTGTTGTTTATAAGTTGTTTAATTTGAACATTTAAAAACCTTCCCATGACACTGTATATATATATATATAAATATATGTCTATATATATATATATATATATATATATATATATATATATATATATATATATATATATATATATATATATATATATATATATATACACACACAAACACACTTACTAAAGCAAATTTTTATAAGCATTTGCTTACTTTTTTTGCTTACCTTAATCCATACAGCTTTTTTAGAAAAGAAAGAAAAAAAACAAAGAATGATGAAAGAAATGATTGCTGTCCCATACCCAAACCCTCAGTCGATGTAGCAACACTCAACTGCGAGTCAGGCTATTTGTCAGTCGATGTATGTACTGAAGCCCCCAGCAGCAGGCTATTTCAGTATGACGTATATATATACGTATATATATATATATATATATATATATATATATATATATATATATATATATTATTATTATTATTATTATTATTATTATTATTATTATTATTATTATTATTAATGTTATTATTATTATTGTTATTATTATTATTTTAGGAGATGCTAAAGAAATAGGCATTCCTGTGACAAACACATGGTATTTTAATGGTTATGAAACCGATGAGTGTTTTGATAAGTATTTTGATAATCCTACTGAGCATAAACCTCCTACTTGTTACCTTGGATTTCCATGCACCAAGGTATGTTTTATTGTAATGGATCTGCACAACTTTTTTATTTTTTAAAAATAAAGTTAATTTTTGTTTTAAATAAAAATAATTTTTGTGTGTTATCATATAATTAAACAGTTAGATTTTTTGATTAGAACATTTTACATGGGGTATTAAATATATTTGTATTACTTGTTTTTTTGAAAATAAGATAACAAAGTTTTTTCACATATTCTGAGCTTAATACATTTGTTTAAGCTTGAAAATATTTGTTAAATAACAAAATTCTGATTTATCAAACAATGGACCTTAATTACAACTTTTATCTTTTTCCTGATGTATCCTGAGTTCTAGAAGTTTCTTTTAACATTTAGTTTTACTGGATTTCCAAAATGTTTTTAGTAAAAAGAAATTTAATTAAATATTTTTGCAATATATTTGATTTTTCACCTTTTCAGTCATTACTCGAACAAAAAATGTTTGAAAAAAGTTGAGAAAGCCATCCGCTTAAAGTTAAGACTTAAAAAAAAATCAAAAAAAATTTTTTTTGCAAATTTTTTTCCAGATTTTTATAAGACCTCTATCACTTTTATCTTTAGAAATATTCATACATAAGGTATTGTGTAAATGTTTTTATTTATTTTTGTATTTTGTTCTTTTTTTTAAGTTTATTATTAATCATGTGATCTAAATTTTTCTTTCGTGTTATTTCAAAAACATAGTAATGTCTAATAATGTATCATTATTATAAAATATCGTATAATAAAAAATCATTATAATAAAAAATAATTATAATAAAGTCATTATAGGGCAAACCCATGTAGAAACATCCAGGGTATGCAACCCCAAGTCTCACTTATTAATATTCCAAAAATTTTATCATCAAATTCCAAATTGTATTGTAAGGACTCAGTTCTTATGGACCACTAATGAAAAAATTAATCATCAAATTCCAAATTATGTATTGTAAGGACTCAGTTCTTATGAACCACTAATGGAAAAAAAATTAAAACTGAAAGTTTTAATTTTTTTTCCATCAGTGGTCCATAAGCTTTTTTTTGTTTTTAGAGCTCCTTGATACTAAAAGCTAGGAAGAAATAGTCTTTTTGTGATTTTCAAACTTTAGGACTCCACATCCCTGAGTAAAATATAATAAACAGGGGGATGGTGTAAGCTCAGGGTGTGTGAGAAAATTTTCTGAAAATTGTTAAACCTCAACTTCTTTATATGAAGCATTTAGGAGTACCACTTTTTTTTTCCTTTTATTTTAATTCTTGTCTTGTAAAGTAACAATTTTTAATAAAGGTCAAAATACAGGTGTTATGTTTTTATATTTTTTAAGTTGTTTTATTGGATTCCTTGCCTCAAAATATGTTAGTGTACATTTTCATCTTTCAATTGCACACTGAACAGGAACAAAGACCTAGCCCTGATTTTTGTTGGTTGAAGGCAAAGTTTAAATATTCATATCTTTGAACCGTTAGGAGTTGGGTAATAAAATTTTGGGAATGTTCATAACATATTAAAACCTTTGAGTGATGTAAAAATAAACAAAAACTGAGACTTAAAGTTGCATTTTGTAAAAAAAGTTGGATGTTTTCACATAGAATTGCCCTCTAATAAAAAATCAATATAATAAAAACATCATAATAAAAAATCATTATTATAACATCATTATAATAAATAACCATTATAATAATTCGGTAGTGGTGTAGTGCTTGCTCATAAGCAAGAAGTTCTGAGTTTGATCCCCACCAGGTTCCTGACAGTACCGATCTCAACTTGCTTCTCTGTGCAGCTGCCTTGTTTGTCAAGTTTTATGTTTTGGAGTTAATAGAGAGTTGAGAAACCACAATTATAATAGCCTTCACGACTCTAGTGGCCTTCTTGGCCTTGGGGAGGCGAGTTAACATATATACTTAAAAAAATAATAAATAAAGACTCATTATAGTAGAGAATCGTTATAATAAAGAATCATTATGATAAAATTGTTTTAATAAAGAGTCATTATAGTAACTGTTATTTTATAGAAATCATCATATATTACATTCTTTATCTATATATTATGACCATAATTATTTAAAGCTTTAAAAAGTTAAAAATTGAATTTAAAAAAACATCTTTTAATAAACATTCATCAATAAAAACATTTTGTAATATACATGCATCTATACAAACATTTTTTTAAGTTTTTTTATGGCTATAAGGGTTTTAAATACTTTTTTTTTTACCTTTTTATTTCAGTTATTACCCTCATAAATTTTTATTTTTATTTTCTGTCCTAGAAAGTTATGAAGTTGTACATTAATTACTATATAAAGTGTTTTTAATTACCATATAAAGTGTTTTTAATTACCATATAAAGTGTTTTAAATTATCAAACTTGTAAATTATATTACTATGAAAAAAGTAACACAACCATTTTTTATTTTGTTATTTCAGTAATGTTTTTTTGTTTGCAGGACCCAACTTGGTCTAAACGTTTTCCAGGTATATCTAACTGTATACTAATATCAGATGCTAAATATGAGTGGTTTGAGAAATGGGAAAATTTCCGCACTCATAAAAGAGGAGCAGAGTATGATCAGTATAAAGAAAAGTTTGCTCAAAAACTTCTTGATATTCTTTATAAAAAGGTAAGTTATTCATTTATTTGTGTTTTTTAATCATGTAAATAAATGTGTAATATGTACAGTGCTTCCAGAAAGTATTAGCGCACTCGTAATTTTTTTATTACAGACAACTTCAAATCAATTTAAATTGTAAAGTAATTTTAATTACGAACTAGTTTTTTTTTAATGAAAGGTAAAACCAATTAAATTTAATTAGAATGTCAATTATTTTTCAAACTACCTGTTTTTTTGATGAATTAATTAGAAGTTTAATGACTTCTCTGAAAAATGTGTGAAATTACACGTGCAAAAGTATTAGCGCACTCATAATAATGTATTAATACAATTTTTTACTTCCTTTGAGAAAAACTTTTTTGGTTAATTTTTGTTAATTACTCTCTGCTAATTAATAATAGTCAATAAAAAATATAGGAAGCTTAAGTTAAAGTGACAGATATAATTTGAAATACAGTTAGTTGAAACTTTAAAATTTAAACAACAAAAATATGGGTTTAAAGAGTATATCAATTGAAATAAAGTGGCAAATTGTTGGCCTTCACAAAAGTGGTCTCAGCAATCGAGAAATCGGATGTCAACTTGTAATCTGTGAATGCAGCGTTAGAACAACATTAAAAAACCATAATGAGTTTGGAGCAGTTGAAGACAAAAGTCGATTTGGTTGTCCTAAAAAACTGTCAAAAAGGGACAAAAATAAAGCAATTATGCTTGCTAGACGCAACCCAAACATGAGTATAGCTGAAATCTCAGACTTGAATACAGCGATAGGTAAAAAGTCTCAGACTTGAATACAGCGATAGGTACACATCAAGTTAGTCGATCAACAATTAGCAAACTGATGAAAAAAAGACAACTCAATTCATACCTTGCAACAAAAAAGCCACTACTAAATATCAAAGACCGTCTCAAGCGAAGAAAATGGTGCAAAAAGCGCATGGATTGTAGAGCAATGGAGAAAAGTTTTTTCTCAGACGAGTCAAATTTTGAACTTATTAATTGCAAAAAAAGAGTTGTCGTGAGGAGATACAAAAATGAAAAATATAATCCTTGTTTTATTATGTCAAGAGTTCAAGAAGGACGAGGTTCAGTTGGCATTTGGGGCTGCATTGCTGAATCTAGCACTCTCCTGGCGCATCTTTACATTAATCACCTTTGTCAACATCAATATAGAGAGATATTAGAAGATTATTTAAAGCCATCAATGGACATTTTTAAAGCTTACTCCACCTGGCAATTTTAAAAAGATAACGCTCCTTGCAACACAACGCGCTCAATTAAGCAATACATGAATGAAAAACGGTTGAACCTGATGCCTTGCTCCTCTCGCTCACGTTATTTGAATCATATTGAGAATCTTTGGAGTTGGATGGACTGCAAATTACAAAAAAACAGGCCCACTAACTTGGTGCAGCTCAAAACGCAAATGCAAGCGTTGTGGAATACCAAGCCACATGAACTAATCAAAAAACTTATAGATTCTATGCCGCGTAAAGTCTTGACATTCCTTAAAAACAAAGGTGGTCATATAAAATATTAAACTTTCCTAAAATCTTTTAAAAACTGTAAGTGGGCTAATACTTTCGCACAATTTTTTATTATTGTTTTTATCACTCTTATTGTATTCTAATTAAATTCAATATAATAATAAATAAATACTTTTATATATTTTACAATTAATAATTCTGCATTATTTTATGAATTAGTTACAAAAAAAATTATGAATCAGTCTTTCATTGTTTTCGAATTACAATCCATTTAAAGTTCTCTGAGGTAAAAAAAATATGAGTGCGCTAATACTTTCTGGAAGCACTGTATATGTAAATGTATAATAAATATATTAAGGTTAGTTTTATCATAGCAGTTCTTAAAATTAAAAAAAAAAGTCAGCAGTTTAATGTCCATCTTAAACTACTTTTGGTTGGCACAAAATTTTTAAGCCAAAAGGTTTAAACATAACAAATTAGAAGCGAGTTAGACATAAGTTAGGAGTAGAAATTCAAAAAAAAAAAATCAGACAATGAAAAATAAATTATATTAGTAAAATATAAATAATTTAATTTTTTTACAAACAAAGAAAGCCTTTCATATAAAATCTTTAGTACTGTATAAAATTTACAAGTATATAAAAATCTTTGATTTGGAACTTCCTCTAAAAATTTGAAAAGGAAGTAGTTAAGATTTATATAACAAAAGAACTTTTATTAGCAAGTAAATGGTAGAACCTTGACCTTATGGAAAACAAGTTAAAATAATGAAATAATATTTATTTCACATTTTATATATTCTTTGTGTCATATCCCTAATAATAAATATGAGCTAAATATAAAAAAAAATTAGTTCTCATTAGAAAGTTTTAACATCACCATTACAACTAGTTTACAAATCCATGCATGCACATTTCTCAGACAATCTTGCTTACTTTAGTTAGAAAACGCCTTGATATAGGCTTCAAACAAAAAAATGGCTTGTCTATTTTTGATCTAGATAAAACAACAAAATATTTTATTTAAAAAAATAATCATTTCAAATTTTGATAATAAATATGTTTAAGTTCACTAAAATTATGCAACAATATTTAATTTTTTTGAACATTCTAGATTAATAGACTGTTTTTGTAAAATTAAAGAAGAAGCAGCTATATATATATATATATATATATATATATATATATATATATATATATATATATATATATATATATATATATATATATATATATATATATATATATATATATATATATATATATATATATATATATATATATATATATCATTGAGGTTACACTACTATAGTATTATTACTTTTATATCGCAGTTAGTCATATAAAATAGTATTATTACTTTTATATCGCAGTTAGTGATATAAAATAGTGTGTTATTACTTTTGTAGTCGTAAATGTTTTATTTTGCTAACAAATTAAAGTTTATTTGCCCCGTAAAAACAAAGTACACAGTTTTGCATAAAACTCTAAAGACCAGTCAATTTGTAATCACAAAATCCAGATATTGCAATTTGTAATTGCTTAATTCAACCTTTGATATATACATTATTATTTATTTATGTGTATTTAAATTTCTTTATACGTTTTTTCATGTTTAAAGAAATTAAATAAAAAAAACTGCAAAAAAAAAAATCCTTTTTTTTTCTTCTTGGATCTCAATAAAACAAATAAAAAAAACTTTCTGATTGTTTGAAGATATAGGTAGGATGATAAAAAGATATAATAAAAGAAAGTCAAAACTATATATTTCGAAATCCCTCAAAAATGACTTGGGCGATTGTAAAATGATCTTGATGATATATTAACAGCTCTGATGCAAAACCAGACAAATCCATATTTAAAAATTTTAACATATCTTGATATTTTTATTTCCTCAATTTCTGTTGGTAACATTCCAATGTCATTAATATATCCTACATCGACAAAGCTCATGGTTCACAGAACAATATATAAATATATATATTTATATATATATATATATATATATACATACATATATATATATATATATATATATATATATATATATATATATATATATATATATATATATACATACATACATATATATATATATATATATATATATATATATATATATATATATATATATATATATATATATATATATATATATATATATATATATATATATATATATATATATATATATATATATATATATATATATATTCAGGGGTGTGGAGTCGTAAAATAAAAGTAACGACTCCGACTCAAGCTGTTAAAATTTTTTGAATACAACTCCGACTTTAACTCCAAAGCAAAATTTTTGAAAAATTCTCTGAATTCTTTAAAAAATATTACGCGATAAATTAATTTTTTTTTTTGAAAAATTTATGAAACGTTCTTTGAGGTTTTGTATGAACATAAGGTTAATTGAATGTTTTGTACATGCACGTGCAATACCGAGAAGTTTTACTATTAGAGTCGGAGACGCGATTTTGTTTAGTGACTCCGACTCCGCTAAAAATGTCGCAATTCCGTCTCCGACTCCACAGCCCTGTATATATATACACACACTCTTATTAAAAAATCATTTTATTTTATTTTAGGTCCCTCAAGTCAAGGGTAAAGTATTATGGTATGAATGTGGTACTCCAATTTCTGATTCTAATTTTTTACAGTCTTATAAGGGGGGATCATATGGAACAAGGTGTAATATTATGTTTGCTAACGAAGAGTCATCAAGATGGGTAATGAGAGCTGATACTGAAATTAAAAATCTTTACACTGCAGGTCAAGATGCATGGACACCAGCAGTTGCAGGGGCGATGTATGGTGGGCTTTTAGCTGCTATCAAGGTTTCTATTTTTAAATAATAACTGAAAAAGTTCTAAACTATATCGGAATTTTACAGCTGTTTTTATTTTAATTAAAGGTTGTTGGCTTCTTCAGAGGTTTAGGAATTTTGCTTGAAATTTTACGGCAACAAGCTAATGATATACAGAAGAAAACGTCATTGACATATCCGGCTTCGATAATAAAAGCAATAAAAATATTTTTAGGAGCAACTCCGGTAATTTGCTTTGTTTGTTACGTTTTTTTCTTCTTCGTTTGTTTTGTTATAAAAAAATAATGACAATAGGGCGATATTATTAATGACGTTTTAGGTTTTAAATATAATATGATAAAAGTGAAATAATTCTTATTTACGAATACTTTGCCCATTTTAGGTTGAGTTTCAATTTGGTAATGATGAATGGTGTTAGATCTGTTTTTCATTTAATGTTTTTTTTATGTTAGCTTTACCTGAACTGCGTTTAAAGTTGTTAGTAGCGTTTAAAGTTGTTAGTAGAAATCAAATTTAAAAATAGCATTTTCCAACTTTTTAAATTGAATTTTCTTCTGTAACTCTTACGTAAAATTTTTGTTCAATAAAAATTTAGGTTATTTTTAATATAAATTTTTTATTCTAATTTAAGTGGTTGCTTATTTTGAATAATATTTTAGGTGGTCGGATTTTTTTAAGGGGAAGGTCAATTTTCCTATGGTTCTTTGTGACCCCTAATTTTACATTTTTATATTAGGTAGTGCAAACTTATTATTTTTTAGATTGCAAATATATAAATTATAGTTAGGATAACTAATTGTTTTGTATGTAAATTTTGCACGGTGATTTTTTTTTCTTTTATACGAGTATTTAATTAGAAAATTGAAGACGTTTTTATGGCGCGTTAGTAATTAAATAGTTTTTTACGCGAAATTTATGCATTTTTACATTTTCAATAAGTTTTATAATAAAAATTATTTATGACAATGATAATACAAAACTAATATATGTTGTCGTTGATTTAAAAAATAGTCAGTAAAACAGAAGTTTTATGTCAAAGATTTTTACTACAGGGTTGCCACTCAACCTGGGAAATCTGCAATACCTGGAAATAGCTTGAATCTCAGGGAAAACCTGGACAACTTTTTAAAATTTTTGTAAAACTTAGGAAAAGCTATCTTCTTTTTTTTTTTTAATATTTTGCTAATACATATACCAATAAGTTATATAATAATAAGATGTAGGTGTTGTTGTAAAAGTTTTAGTTTATCAAATATAAAGACTGCGGGTAAGTGAGGAAAATAATAATCTTGTTGAACCGGAAAAAAAATAGCCAAGTCAAGAAAAACTCAGTGGAAAAGTTCCACTCAGAGGAAAACGTTCTTTACTCAGGGAGAAACTTTAAAAATGTTGTTGAACAACTTTGCCTTTATAATTACAATCACTTAATAATTTATGTAAAAAAATCAGTAAATTTTTTTATTTCCATTTGGAAACAACTCTGTTAAATATGTTGGCTCCTATAATATCGAAGCCTTTACTTCCCTGTTGGATCGCCGCTTCTTTAACAATAAGTTTTGAGTCATAGTTCATATTAAACATATTAGCCATCGATGAATGACATACTCCCGATAATGCCGACTCAACTATTCTTGTTGCATAAACATTCCTTCTCTACATTGCTTTAGTTCGTCCAAAAGGGGAGCCGAATGAGTGTTCCTAGGTTTATGACATAATTTGGCCACGCTGCTTTTGTATTACATCAAACCTCTTTAGTTGCGCTTTGGATTGACCAAAATATAATATGCTGGCATATTCTAATTGACTCCGTATAAGTCCTTTATACGCTATATTTGAATGCTCCCTCAGAAGCCTGACAGATGCTAAAATTCCCATTTTAGAATAGCATTTTTTAACGGTTGTATCAATTTGTTCTTTGAATTAGAGATATTGATCTATAGTGACCCCTAATAGCTTAACATGAGTAACTGGTTGAACCTCAATATTTTTTAATTTTAATGGGTAGGTTATCGGTAAGTATTTTTCTCGGCAATTTGAACACCTTCAGTTGCGTTTTACTGGAGTTGATAGTGAAACCATAATCAATACAGAACTTATATGTATCTCCATACGCTTTTATCAATTTTTCAGTGACAACTACTCACTTTTAGTGAGCTGTCTGCAGCTGATAGGGTAATGTCGTCTGCAAACAAAAAAACTCAGTTGTTAATGATTCTCATGTAGATTTTGAATAGTTCAGGGCTAAGTCCACCACCTTGAGGTACGCCTCTTGTTATCAGCTTCCATTGGATAATCCTAGTTCCGTTTTCATCCTCTGAACCCTTCCTTCTAGGTAATTTTGAAATAGTTAACCAGCGTTTTGGCTTAGTCCTAATTTAGCAAGCTCATTTAGTAGACTCTGGTGTGACACTATCAAATGCTTTTGTTTACTCTGGTGTGACACTATCAAATGGTTTTGTCAAGTTTATTAATAGCGTGTCTACAAGTTTCCCTTTATTTAACAAGCCGTACCAGGAGTTAGTTGCTGTTATTAATCCAGTTTCACAGTTTGGATTCTTCGTGAATCTAAATTGCTGGATTGGTGTTAATTTTTTAGTTTCACTATATTTGGATAGTTGTCTGCATATTATTTTTTCATAAACTCTTGAAAGTAATGGTAAATTTGAGATAGGGCGGTACTTTTCAGGATCAGATTTTCTGCCTTTTCCCTTCCATATAGTTGTAATATTAGCTTTTTTCCAGATTTCAGGAAATACAACTTCATCTCTAGATTTGTTTAGAATGATGGTTAGATTTATTGCAAGAGAATTAACCAATCGTTTGATTAAATAAACTGAGAGTCCATCATGCCCAGCTGATCAGTTGCTTTTTATTTGGTTAAGTTCGTTCAAAACGGTTTCTGTTTTCACTAACTTAAAACTAAAGCTGTCGATTTGGTCACATTCTTATCGCCATACACGTGAAGTCCTATTTTTGCACTGAACTACTGAAGCTAGATGGTTATTTAGATAGTTTAAATTGATTGTATTTTTATCAAAGATTTGATTTTTATCCTTAGTATTGAAACACATTTTCTTAATACACTTCCAACCATCTTTAGGGTTTTTGCTTTGAAATGCTTCTCTTCCTTTGTCTGTTTCAAACTTCCTATTATAAGACTTCTGATTTTTTTTAATATCCTTAAGTTCCTTTTTATTTCATCTGTAAACTCTATATGTTTTCCTCTTTTTTTAGCTAAATAATCTCTTCTTTTTATCATAACTTTTATTTTTTTTGTCAATCCATTAAGGTCTAGTTGTTCGACACGGAAATTGTTTTACTGGCGCAAATTCATCAATTATTATTCTGATTGCATTATATCAAGTATTTACTAGATCGCTTGTTGTCAATGATGGCTCAAGTTTAATTAATTCAATTCTCTTATTGAGGTCTTCAAAGTTTACAAGTTTTTAAAGTTTCCAAATTTTACAAAGTTACAAGTTTACAAGTCTTCAAAGTAATAACAAAATTTAATTGTGTTGTTGTGAGTAAGAAAAGAAACGATAATTCTTTATAAGCTTATAATAGTAGTACAATATCTAATGCTATTGTAGATCTTGTTCTCATTTGTTATAACTTTCATTTAATATTATTATTTGTATTATTAGTTAATTATATATTATAACACTAACTGTTGTTATAGTATTACAAATAATCTGCCGTGTACCTTTTTTTAACGCAGGTAACTAAATTATAGAAATTGAAAAGCAATTATTGGAAGGAAATAATACCAAAAAAAAAATTTATACATTTTTAAAAACAAAAAATTATACAAAATTATAATTGTTTTCAAAAAGATCTTGATAAAATCATGATACTGTTACCTTTATCATCACTATCAAATTTATGTGTATTTTTATCGCCTTCTGTCATCAGACTAATTTTGATTTGATGAATGTTTTCCTTGATCCAATCAATATGGCACATATATCTTGATCCATTGCGTCATTGTTTAAGAACGTCGGGTAACTGCATCTAAATAAAATTATCTTTAAAGCAAGGTAATTTTGTACATTTTACAAGTACTTTTATACTTTACATTGTTCTTTGTATTTTTATACTTTACATTGTTGAATGTGAACATTAAGTGATCAATAGTAGGAAAAAAATGCATTACTGATCCGTGTCTAATTTACTTGATTATTAACCTAGATATCAATCTTTTTGGATAAAGATACATCAACATCATAGGGGAGATGGGGGCGCATTGATCGACGGGGCAGTATGATCTTTTAGCTTTTACTCGTTTACTTTTGCCTTAATTTAACAGAGAATGCAATTTAATTAACCATTATACTACCCTTCATTGCTTAATCGTAATAATTTTTGATAAGATCAACTTCAGCATTAAGAAAATTGAAAAGACTGTTTTTCATCATGAAAAGTGAGTTTTGAAAGTTGTAAACAAATTCAAATAAATTTTTAATTAGATTTCCGTATGACTTTACAACCAATTTATTGTAAACTCATATGTGTTAAGTTTATAATAAATTTGTTATTTTGAGTTGGTTACTGTATTTATAGAAGTTATTGGCATCAATATATCAACTGTACCTACTGGGGCACATTGATCGTTGACTATGCGGGGCTTATTGATCGGAGGATCAAAGTGCCCTATATAACTTATATTATAAGACTTTAAATTTTATACACTTAAACTTTTGACGAATAAAAAATCTTTAAATAAACTTTTAAAATTTCATTTTTAAAATGTAATAGTGTTTAAAAACTAATATTAATAACATTAGTTTTTAGTTTTACATAATTTTTACAATTTGTTTACATAATATTATTATATAAAATTATATATATATTTTTTATATTATATATATATGTTATATATTATATATATATGTTTTATATTATATATATATATAATTATATATTTTAAACAATCATTTTATTTTACTTTTTTTTAAATTTTCAGATCTTTAAATGGTTAGGTATAGAAAAAAAAAAAAAAAAACAGACAGAGTCGCTATATCATGCGATACAATGAAATCAGCTGTAAATGAAGTTTTAGAGGGCCGACTAGTGAATGTTGTAGCTTGCAAGTTTAGCATAAATCGAATGACCTTAAAAAGATATTGTAATAAAAAGAAGCTCAACCCAAACAAATCTTTTAAGTCTAATTACAACAATAAACAAGTTTTTACTGCAGAAGATGAAAAAAGATTGTCAGGTTATTTACTACATGCATCAAAAATGAACTATGGACTTTCAACTAAGTCAACACGATTATTGGCATACGAGTTTGCTGTAAAAAATAATAAGATTTGCCCTTCATCATGGATCAAGAATAAAATTGCAGGGATTGATTGGTTGCAAGGTTTTATGAAAAGACAACCAGAGTTGTCTTTACAAACACCTGAAGCAACTAGCTTTGCTCGATCAACTGCCTTTAACCAACACACTGTTGGAGAACTTTTCCAAAATCTGAAAACAGTAAGAAATCGATATAATTTTGATCCTTATTGCATATATAATGTTGATGAAACTGGTTAAACAACAGTACAAAAGCCAGTAAAAGTATTAGCAGGTAAAGGAAGTAAACAAGTAGGAAGAATCGCATCTGCAGAACGAGGAACATTAGTAACTGTATGTTGTGCTTCAAATGCAATTGGAAACTCTATTCCTCCACTATTTGTTTTTCTTAGGGTCAAATTTCATGATTACATGATAAAGGAAGGTCTTCCTGGATGCGTGGGATTTGCAAATCCTTCTGGTTGGATGAATTCAAACATTTTTATAGAATGGATAAAACATTTTGCGAGGTATTCAAACTGTTCTCATGAATCTCCAGTTTTGTTACTTCTGGACAGCCATAAAAGTCCCCATTGTACCCATAAATTGCAACCGCTGGATAGAACTGTTTTTGGACCATTGAAAAGGTTTTTTAATGCTGCGTGTGATAATTGGATGGTCACAAATCCAAGACCTATGA